CCCCTTGTGTTAGTACAGGCAGCCCCCTTGTGTTAGTACAGGCCTCTCCTTTTGTTAGTATAGGAATATCCTCATATTAGTATAAGCATCCGCTTGAGTTATTACAGGCATCTCCGTGTTTTAGTTTAGGCACCCCCTTGTGTTAGTATAAGCACCCCCTTGTGTTAGTATAAGCATCCCCTTGAGTTAGTATAGGCATCTCCTTGTGTAAGTATAGGCATCGCCTTATGTTAGTACAGGCATCCCCGTTGTGTTAGTACAGGCAACCCCCCTATGGATTCCGGATTAGAAGCTGCCCCTTCTTCCCTTAGAAACCAGTGATAGCTATTAAGTTCAGACGAGCTTATTTACAGGCCGCTTTCCAACAGCTGGAATATTGCCAAATGCAGCATAAAACAGGAAACAGACACACACATTGTACCACGACGGAGTGGCTCGTTGCGTACATTCGGTTATTTACAATCAGTTGTCATACAGCTGGAATATAACTTAGTGTGGCTTCAAACAAGCAAACAAAAAACATACTCCGCGTATTTAGCAGTGATTTGTAATATGATGTGGCCTAAGAAAAATCAAATTGCATTATGGCTCTGAGTGGTAAGACTTTGAGTTCAGCTGATGCCTTCAAATAGCCTCAAGCCTCCATGCATTCAATTTCCACTCGCGGATCCGCCTTGACTCTGACACCAGACCCATCCTCAGGAACGTGTAGGCGCTGTTTAGTATTTTGATAGGAGGGCACACTAGGAGAGTTTACAGTATTTCAAAACCACACTTGCCCGGGAAACATTGGCGCTACCACTGTAGCATAGACTTTCCGTTTCATTTTGTCGATTTTTTTTGTGAGCAAGTATGATAAGCAAGTATGATATAACAGTGAGATATATAAACATAATTAGGCATTAGACGTCAATTTATATTTCCTTCTGATAATACATGGAAGTCTTGGAGCATCACAACAGCTCTATCTCTCATATATACTCATACATTCCTGTGTCTTTTTATCAGTTTTGCTGAGCAAGGATGATGATGCTGATGCTGATGCTGATAATAATAATGCGTGAACATATATTGCGCTAGCCTCCATCCCGTTGATGCATGCTCAAAGCGCTGACATTATTACCCCGGTCAATGGATCAATGTCCACTCGATTTTCATTTGCAGCTCTCTGGGGATTATACAACCTAAGCTGCTATCTCAGGCGCGAGAAGGTTGACAGTCATCTTAAGCATCTCATCCTACCGGGTACCCGTAGGACACGGCAGTCATAAACATGGCTAGACATGGACTTGCTTCTGCTGACTACTGATCTGGACAACATCAATTAACTCAACATTTGACATGATGATTTATACACTGATGTAGTCAATGCTCCTGTTCGGCAGCGTGTATCTCACGATGGTACTACGACATCAATAGATTCTACTGTTCTCCGTATGTTTATACTAAATGAGAGAGCTTACGTTGATAGAGCAGGCGAGTTTACGTTTGTATGAGATACTGGTTCTAGTATTGTTGATTATTTTATTGCATCTGTTCGACTTTCGACCACTTATTTACTTTGTATGCAGTCATTGAAAAATATTTATCCTACGGCAAACGCAAGTTGTATATGGCCTTTGTTTATTTTAAAAGGCATTTGATTCTGTAAATAGAGCTAAATTGTGAAAAAATAAGCGTTTAGGAGGCAAAGTGGTTGCCATTGCTAAATCAATGAATGCAAATGTAAAGTCATGTGTGCGCTGCGGTGACACAAAAAGTGACTTTTTTATTGCCCGATAGGTTTACACCAAGGATGTGTTTCAAGTCCTATACTTTTTTTAACAAATGAGTTATATGTTGATATCATACAGTCTGGTAGATATGGCATCCAACTTCTTCCTTGACATAATAGAACTTTTCATGCTACTTTTTGCAGATGATGTAATTTTTATGTCTTGTACTGTTATTGGTCTTCATAAGCAGCTTGACATACTTTCGGAATATTCAGATAAATGGAAACTTAGTGTTAATCTTGATGAAACAAATATTGTTATATTTTGTATAGGTGGTCGAGTGGCTGCAAGAGAGAAATGTTGTTGTTTTTTAAGGTAAATGTATTAATGTTGTAAATGAATACAAATGCCTTGGTATATTGTTTACCCATACACTGAATCTGCTTGTGTCTGTAATTAATCTCACTAACAGAACAAAGAAAGCTCTGTTACAAGTCCACTCTGTTATCTTCAAGCTTGGAGTTATTTCACCGAAAACGTATTTCAAATTATTTGATTCTCAAATAAAACCTATTTTACGATATGAGATATGGAGTTGTACAGAGTTCTATGCAATTGAAAAGGTCCATCTTCTCGCTTGTAAAAAGGTTTTGAATGTTGGTATGTCAACACCAAATAATATGGTCAATTGAGAACGTGGGAGATTCCCATTGTACATTGTATCTTACACTCGTTGCTTGAAGTATTGGTGTACCTAAGAAAGCCTACAACATGCTTGTCTTGGAAAGAACACATGGGCTTCATGTAGTCGTAAATTGCTTTTTCACATATGCCTTTGGTTTCATTTGGCTGTTCCAGACAATTGGAAATGCAAATGTTTTCATTAACCACTTTCGCATGCGTGCCATTGATATGTTTCATCAGAAATGGCATTCAGATATTTAAGTTCAAGATTGTGATACTTATCGTCAGTTCAAGTCATTGCTTGAACCAGAATTTTAATTATAAAACTTACGGTACAGAAATTTTCGTAAAATCATTATTTGTTTTAGACTTAACCTGAATTATCTAGAAATTAACACAAGGAGATTTTCATCTGTTGAGAAATCACTAAGGTTATGCCCATTCTGTGACATTGTTGTCGAAGATGAATACCATTTTATGTTTATTTGCCCCATATACGAAAATCTAAAAAACAAGTACTTACCGCAGTGGTCTTTATCTCATTTTAATGCTATAAGATTGTCTTCATTACTGTCCCGCAAGGATCTTTTAACACAAAATCAACTGGCTTTGTACATACATCATGCGTTTTTGTTACGAAGTGAATTGTTACCTTGACTTTGTATCTTATAAATATGTAATGTAACTCCGTTGAAAATGGGCTTGTTGCCTTTCATACAATGAAGAATTGAATTCAGTTCAATGAAACTATTTATTTGAGAAGCAATATCACATAAACAATGTAAAGAAAATTAATTTCATGGCAGATAATGAAAGATATTTGAGTTATAAATAAACAGTACAGATAACTTTTACATCTAAGAATACAACTCATTGTCCTCGTGGAGATTTCGGGATAAAATATGTCTTCGGAAACCTATACTGGTTGTAACGGGCGACTTAATGGATGGGGTTTTCAAGCCCGATAACGTGGTTTGACCGTGTATCATAATATCCAAACGGCGTGAGACGAGACGTTAGTTTGATGTAAATAGCTGGGATATTGCTGAACGCGGCGTTAAACAAGACACTCGCCAAGAAATGTGTTAACATGACTAAAAACAACTTTTTAAAACCTTTTATCACAATTATGCTGTACAACAGAGTTGAAAACTAACAGAACGTGAAGTCGGAGCTGCTAATACTGGGTGTGGTACGTTACAAATACTCCCAGGCTCCTATTGAATATCAAGCTAATCTACTATTAATGGTGTCCCCCCGATCTGCTTAAAACGTTTGTTTTATAAGAAAGGTATTTCTAAAGTCTTAATATATTAGTCTTACTGTTCAAATAGAAAAGGGGGTTTTAACTTTGGATCTCATTGCGCACTTGCATTCGCAACTTCATATTTTACGACAGGCGACATATTGGAAATCACTCAGCATTTTGAACTTCGAACGCTGTGGTTCACAATATTCTAACAATATCCCAACAGTCTGTACATCCCAAGTCTTGATCTGCAATCCAGTGACTTAAAACATGGGAAACGATCTTCGCTATCAGGGCAAAATAACACGCAATCAAGCCGTCACCTTGCCACCAGATTCTCTTCGCTTGGCTCTCATGGCAAGCAGGGTATAAGGTAAAAGATACAGGAATAGTTCGAAGTTTTTTTTTAATAAACTTGAAATAATGAGAAAACAATAGAAATAACAAGAAAATATCTCAAAGAAATTAATTGAGATAAGTAGAAAATATAATAATTAAATCAACGAGAAAATAATCGAAAATAATCGAAAATATTCGAAGTAATGACACAATACTTTTTCACACACAAAAATCAAATAATGTGCAAATACTCGAAATTACAAGAGAGAAACATATCGAAGCAGCAAAAAAATAATTGAGTTTTTGAAATAAACTTGAAATAAGGAGAGAAAACTCGAAATTCGAGAAAAAACCCGAAGTAATGACAAAAAACTCGAAATTTCCCGTTTTGGAAATTAGCTTGAAATAACAAGAAAATAATCGCAATTACGAGAAATAATTGAAATAATGAGAAAATAATTGAAGCAAAGAAAAAAACTCGAAATTTCTAGAAAATGTACAAATTCTTGAAATAACGAGAAATTTCAATTTAAAACAAATATACATGCAACAAAAGTGGCACCATTAGGCTTTCGTATTCTGGAGCAGTCTGCAGAAATCTTTGAATGATTATGATTTTCGGAACTCATTCGGCAGACAATTCCAGACCCGAGAAGCCTTATATGCAAATGACTTTAACCCGAACTTTGATGATTTAACCCGGGGGATCTCCGTCGTTTTAATACTGCCTGCCTAAGGGAATAGGTGGTTTGTTTTAAGGTTATTAAGTTTTGAATGTAGCTTGGGGAAATGTTGTTGAATTACTTCCCGAGACATGTCCTTTAACGACTTATATGAAGAAAAGTAGTACCAGACATCAACTGGGAAGTGAGCTGTTACAATCACCATCACACAATCAAATCTAAGGGCTCTCTTGTGGATTTTTTGCCAATTTTGTTGTGCCACTGTTGTGCTTTGTTGCAGAACTGTCAAATAAGGTGAGGGTAATAAAATAATATTGAAGACAGGAAGATTTGTGTCTACTTGAGACAAGTGGTCACCAGAATCATACATAAATTGGGTTCATATTTGGTTTTGACACATTTGCAACACCTCTTTTTCTAGCATTTCACAGATGCATTTCTTCTTGTGTAATGTGGGATGCCTGTTTACGACACTTGTTTCAAATCTGTCCCCAAATAGATCGTCATAATTCCTTTCAATGCAAGAGAGTAATTGGTGTTTTCCAGTGTTTCGTGCTCTATCCTGAAACTAAAATAAGAACATAATTATTTCATGATGACGTCATCACAAGGCAGAGTTTATGAGTGAGTGAGTGATTTGGGTTTTACATCGCATTTTACAGAATATCTGTAGGATAATAAACGAGCTTAATGCTTTGGACAGGTAAAACTTATTCCACTCGGGACATAAATTTGAGGTTATGAGCGAGTTGGGTTTAAACGCCTCTTTTAACAACATATCAAACGAGCTTAAAACTCGGGGCGGGCAAAACACATTCGATTCGGGACACGAACTTGATATCAAATGGGAACGAGTTATTTATTACCAACGATGCTATTCAATGAATTATCAACAAAATAACGCCAAGTGTCCAAGTGTCTTAATAAAGAGAGCAAAGGTGCGTATGGATACAAGTATGCGAAGTGTTAACATAAGGCCGCATCACTTCCGGCATGCCATGACATTGATGAAACAACACGTTTTAGGTTGAAATGACTGACATAATTTGGTTTGCCATTGCGATTGCACATAGGTCGGCAATTGCAATTTGTTACTGCCTTTCAGCTGATTCAGGCTCACTTCAGGATTGTGTTTTCGTACATCGTGGAGCTAACATATATGTTGATATTACAAGCAAATGCAACATCTTTATCACTTGAACGTAATCGATGTGGTCAGCCAGCGGATTCGCTTGACAAGCACGCTTTTTAAACATAATAATGAAAGTGGAATTAAAACATTCCATTTAAACATTAAAACTTCCAAGGATCTGCTTGGATTTTCAATCTCAGAACAGAACCAAGTTCAATTATGTGAAAACATTTGATTTTTCAAATTTGTACACCGCTATCCCACACGAAGAACGTAAGGGAAACATGATGATCTTAGATAAAGTTGCATCTCTATCGTCAAAGGTTCACTGCAATTTGCTAAAAATGGAAGGAAATGACATCTGAAGTTTACTGAGAAAACGAAATGTGCATTAAGCGTATGATGTGGTCGGAATCGTACAGTTAACTCTACCTTTAGTAGAGATTTCTTATGAACTTGAAAATGTTTTTTGTCGATTATATTTCCTCTTTTTCACTTTTTAAAGTGTTTTCATCAATAAAGATACCTCTCTGTCTCTGTCCGGGACAGCTTCACCAGCCTCACGTGACTCGTAAATGATGTCACATAGGTATTTCTGAGGACAGATAACACGTGGGTTAGCATTAACGGATGTGTGTTGTACACTTACAACCGGTGTCACACATTACATCTCGTATCACAAAATAGATAGGTAGTCCCACGTTGCAAATGGTGTCACACATTACAACTTACGGCGCTCATTACAACCAGTGTCACGCACTACAAGGGGTGTCACGCCTTACGACCGGTGTCACACACTTTATAGGGTGTCACATGTTACAACCAGTGTCAAATATTACAAAGGGTGTCACACACTACATAGAGTGTCTCACATTACAAACAGTGTCACAAACTACATAGGGTGTCTCACATTACAACCAGTGTCACGCACTACATAGGGTGTCTCACATTACAAACAGTGTCACACACTACATAGGGTGTCTCACATTACAACCAGTGTCACGCACTACAAGGGGTGTCACGCCTTACGACCGGTGTCACACACTTTATAGGGTTTCACATATTACAACCAGTGTCATGCACTACATAGGGTGTCTCACATTACAACCAGTGTCACACACTACATAGGGTGTCTCACATTACAACCAGTGTCACGCACTACAAGGGATGTCACGCCTTACGACCGGTGTCACGCACTACATAGGGTGTCTCACATTACAACCAGTGTCACGCACTACATAGGGTGTCTCACATTACAACCAGTGTCACGCACTACATAGGGTGTCTCACATTACAACCAGTGTCACACACTACATAGGGTGTCTCACATTACAACCAGTGTCACACACTACATAGGGTGTCTCACATTACAACCAGTGTCACGCACTACATGGGGTGTCTCACATTACAACCAGTGTCACGCACTACAAGGGGTGTCACGCCTTACGACCGGTGTCACACACTTTATAGGGTGTCACATATTACAACAGATGTCAAATATTACATAGGGTGTCACACACTACATAGAGTGTCTCACATTACAGCCAGTGTCACACACTACATAAGGGGTCATACACAACATAGGGTGTCTCACATTACATTCAGTGTCACACACTACATAGGGGGTCATACACAACATATGGTGTCACACACTTCATAGGGTGTCACACATTATATAGGGTGTCACACATTACAACCAATGTCACACACTACATAGGGTGTCATACATTATATAGTGTGTCACATATTGCAACAGATGTCACACACTACAAAGGGGGTCACACACTACATTAAGTGTCACAGTTTATATAGGGTGTCACATATTACAATCAGTGTCACTAACTACATAGGGTGTCACACACTACTCAGGGTGTCACATACTACATAGGGTGTCACACATTATAAAGGGTGTCTCACATTACAACCAGTGTTACACATTATATAGGGTGTCACATATTACAATCATTGTCACACACTACACAGGGTGTCACATACTACATAGGGTGTAACATACTACATAGGGTGTCACATATTGCAACAGATGTCACACACTACACAGGGTGTCACAAACTACATAGGGTGTCACACATTACATAAGGTGTCACATATTACAATCAGTGTCACACACTACACAGGGTGTCACATACTACATAGGGTGTCACACATTACATAAGGTGTCACATATTACAATCAGTGTCACACACTACATAGGGGTCATACACAACATAGGGTGTCACACATTATATAGGGCGTCACACATTAGAAGCAATGTCACACACTACATAGGGTGTCACATATTGCAACAGATGTCACACACTACAAAGGGGGTCACACACTACATTGAATGTCACACATTATATAGGGTGTCACATATTACAATCAGTGTCACACACTACATAGGGTGTCACACACTACTCAGGGTGTCACATACTACATAGGGTGTCACACATTATATAGGGTGTCTCACATTACAACCAGTGCCACACATTATATAGGGTGTCACATATTACAATCATTGTCACACACTACACAGGGTGTCACATACTACATAGGGTGTAACATACTACATAGGGTGTCACATATTGCAACAGATGTCACACACTACACAGGGTGTCACAAACTACATAGGGTGTCACACATTACATAAGGTGTCACATATTACAATCAGTGTCACACACTACACAGGGTGTCACATACTACATAGGGTGTCACACATTATATAAGGTGTCACATATTACAATCAGTGTCACACGCTACATAGGGTCATACACTACATAGGGTGTCACACACTTCATAGGGTGTCACACATTATATAGGGTGTCACACATTACAAGCAATGTCACACACTACATAGGGTGTCACATATTGCAACAGATGTCACACACTACAAAGGGGGTCACACACTACATTGAATGTCACACATTATATAGGGTGTCACATATTACAATCAGTGTCACACACTACATAGGGTGTCGAACACTACAAAGGGTGTCACACATTATATACGGTGTTTCACATTACAACCAGTGTCACACATTATATAGGGTGTCACATATTACAATCAGTGTCACACACTACACAGGGTGTCACATACTACATAGGGTGTCACACATTATATAGGTGTCATACATTACAACCAATGTCACACACTACATAGGGTGTCACACATTATATAGGTGTCATACATTACAACCAATGTCACACACTACATAGGGTGTCAGATATTGCAACAGATGTCACACACTACAAAGGGGGTCACACACTACATTGAGTGTCACACATTATATAGGTAGTCACATACTACATAGGGTGTCACACACTACTTTAGGTGTCACACATTACAACCGATGTCACACATCACCAATCTATATATCAAAGCAATTTGATACTTACCATACATGGTTGTAAGTCATAATACATGACCTCCAACTGAAGACAATGTTAAGGAAAGCTGTAAGGTCAACCATATGAAACCATGATATGAAAGAGAATAGTTGCTTTCGTCGGATAGTATCTTTGAATCCATCATTCGAGCGAGTAAAACTAACATACCACACAGGTGATAATGATCATGCTGCTAGTTTAATAGAATTTTTCCAAAGGATACGGTTGGTCTCCAGCGGCTTGATGCATAGTTGATGAGGATATTGGTTCTTAAAACATGCCTCAGGGAATATGCTTGTATTCGAGCTTTCAATCTCTTTAACATCTGACAAAACAAACAAGCATTTTCATGTGGCAGCACGTCATAATACAGATGAAAATCTAAATAGCTAACCTATCACATGGAGCATCACATGGCAGCGGTTTATTACGACCAACACCTGAACAGCAATGTCGTTCTTGCACAGGTAGGGCTCCTCAGAGGTCAAAAGTACATTAGACATGTCACTGGTTTGTCAGCAACATCTCTGTGTTCGTACATTTCTCTCAAGTTGACAACGACACTTGCGACACTTTCCCAACCACGATCATTATTGTTCAAAGCGGCGTTAAACCAAATCGGAAATCACCAACTCAGTTTTATTGTAATAATAATTTATTGAAGTATCGGAGATGTCAAGAGACAATAACGTTAGTAATGGGCACATGAGTAATTTATGCTGAAAGCCATGGTATATTTGTTTGTTTGATGCTGGAGTTAATATTCCAGCAGAGTCTGAACCCGACAAAAGTAATTGATATTATTAGGCAAGCCCCGCGCCGTCAGGGTATTATAATATACATTCAACCAATTCACCAGGTCTTACCACCTGAAAAATTTAGTCGCTTCTTACGACGAACAATATGGTGCTAATGACCTATACCAACACAGAATCCACACGGAGTGCTTGTAGGGATGGACCTCCACCATGGTCTAGTGGATACCCCTGGCCATACCAGAAGCCGTTAATGGGGGTAATTGTTGTTACCTTGCCTACGCTCGGCATTAATGGAATAAAACAAAAAGTGGTCGTCTCGAAGTCTGTATACTGTGTCTGAGTGGGTTATCTATGTCAAACTGCGACATTATATCTCAGTGGGCTAGCATTATAAAACCGACAGAACCCCATTTAACCATAGTGTAACAAAGTAATGCGCACTTACCTGCACATGTGCAACATAGACCAAACCTGCTCCGAGGAGAGGTATGACTAGAACAAGAGCTGGAAGGAAGTCACTATTCAACATTTTCCTATCTGATGCTACCATTATGCAGATAATTAGCAGCATCAGCAAAATGCAGAATGTTGTGCCGCAACAGCAAATGCCGCAACAGTGACGAAAAGAGTGGATGGTGGAATAGTACTTCATGTAGGCAGAGGTGTTGGCAATATCCTTTGCTTCATAATATACTCTTTCAGCGAACTGAAACAAACACGAAGGTGTGCAAGTTCCAGGCCCGTTAGAGTGACTGTTTCAAAACTTTTCATCTCTGATAGGAGGAAGCAAACAACAAATGTTTTTCAGTAATCATTCTTTTCCCTTTTTGGAGAAACAATTTTTTTTCCAGTAGTTTCTGGAACAATCTAAAAGTCTCTGTAATATTATATATATAATAGGCTACCCTCATTGCTAAAGTGTGTGTGTGTGTGTGGGGGGGGCAGTTTAAGGATAGGTACATCCTTACCGAACAACAACAGTCACTCTTGACATTTAAGTCTGAAACAGTTTATATTACCCATAAGGGTAGAATGATCCTGTGCAATATCTTTCCGATATTTCCACATATGCCTTTCGGCGATTCTCTGTGATGATTGGTCAACTGAAGCCATATGACGTCACAGTGCTTCGTCATTGAGAAAAATATGATATGACGTGATACACTGTTTATGACCTCACGCATTGATTACATTACTTCATCTTAACAATAGGCTACTTCCAGTTAAGCTTCTCTGTGACATTTCATACGTCTTTTCTTTATTTCCCCTGAGGTTGCATTCTATAGAGCTATGTATAACATTGTCAGGTCATATATGTCATGTTACCTTGCTTCCAAGTTGGCGAAGCTCGTACCGTTGGTGCTGGTCGAGATCTCGAAAAGACCACGCGGGCCCTCTGCAAGTGGATTTCAAATTTTTCTCCCCAATGATCTTAGTAACAGTTCCATTTGCTGGCCCTTGAAAATTAGAAAAAAAGAGAGATATCATGGAATAATAATTAAATTTTCGTTGTGTTCACTGTAATTCGTGCATTATGACTAGCTGAATTGGTCACGTGTTATTGCATTCATTTCCCAATGAATGTAAAGACATTAAGCCACGCCCATCGACGGGGACTACTTTTATTACTACGGAATGTCGGGGAATCCAGATATTTTATAGTCGAGGGACGTGTATCGTCATGCATATGCATTTCCAAACTATCCTTTGCGGCCGACAGCCGAGAAGGAATGAAACAGCACACGTGCAGGCTCGCTCCACAAATATTTCATGTCTTCAGGTTTCATTTTAAATCCGCAATTTTTCAAAATGTGTCCTCCCGTTCTCAGGGACCTGATGTTCGTACCTGGCAGGTAACTGACCGTGTCATTTGAAACAGCCGCCTTCTCCCGGACATATTTGTTCCGGTTCGTTAGAGTCTTGACTGTTGCAGTTCTTCTCGCCTCTTGCCTTGACTGACAGGTCCGTTGTTTTTATCCTACTCTCCGTTGATTAGCTATTGACTTTGTGCGCGTGTCAAGTTATGAGCATAAATTAAACAATCACAGATTCATGTCACACCACAGTATGTATTCCAACACCTGGAATGTTTATCAATCTCGCCATTTGTGTCTGCTTTGATACATATAGTGCCTGGACTATGCCCTCACCTTTTTCGTTTTTCCAGTATTTCATCATTTCAGGAACAAGATGTTCAAAATCTCCTGAAAAGAGGATTTAGTGTACAAGAAACAAATGGTAACTTAAACACAGATTGTCAAATGAGATCGAAGTCTGTTAATAATCGAACTTTTCACGAAATGTACATGCCTATTGGCAATCTGTTAAAAAGTCAGTTCAGTATACTTAGCCTATGTACATTCTGTAGCAAATTGCTCGCTGCCGTGTAAAGGTGTTTTAACCTTAGACAAATATGTGGTGTCTTTGCAACATCGACATGGATGATTAATAAATCAAGAATGACAAGGGCAATAACGCCCTCAGATTATTTTTCACACAAAAATGTATTTCGTGTATGTACATTGTGATATTCCTAAAGGAAGCAAGGCCAGGTTTCAGGAAAAGGGCAATAACTTGATGTAAACATCACTACATAGTTGAACCCAAAATGAACTTTTACTCATAGAATCACAAAGATTCAATTTACCCTGCTCCATTCCTGTAAATAGACCACAATTCTTAAACATGAACTCTTTAACCCTTTTGTGGAACCATACCAAAAAGTCCCCCAGCAATGTATGCCAAGTTGAGGATTCGAGGGTGGAATTGGTCGTCAGTTCCCCTTGCAAATCGAAAGAGCCGACAGAGAGCTGAGGGTACCTTATGTGTGATCCACAGATTTAGTGTACGATTCACGAACGTTGCTCATGTGTCGGCCTCACCAAGGTTTGATATAGCTTGGATACAACGGCACAAAACATTCATGCACTTAACGTTATAGGTATGGGTGTTTGGACACGACTCAGTGCTGAACCTGTACATGCAGTCCAGCAGGTTTATAGCTAAGAGGGGCCACGAGTGTCCTAGCCGTCTAAGGAGCTGCAATTCGCTGTACAGAACTTCATTCCTTAGGCAAGCCAAACAAATATTATCATGGAGTATATTATTTCTAAATGAAAGTGTTGATTGTCCTTCTGAGGAAGACCCCTGAAGATCCGGGGTAGAATAGGTCTTCAGCAACCCATGCATGCCGTAAGAGGCACGTATGCTTGTCGTAAAAGGCGACTAACGTGATCGGGTGGTCAGGCTCGCTGACTTGGTTTGATGCATGTCATCGATCCCAATTGCGCCGTTTGATGCTGATGATGTCAATCACTGGATTGTCTGGTCCAGACTCGATTATTTACAGATCGCCGTCATATAGCTGGAGTGTTGCTGAGTGCGGCGTAAAGCAACAAACCAATAAACCAACCATCCATTTAAGGAAACTGTTAAGTGACAGCACGTGATTGAAGAGTTAGTAAAATGTCCAGCGGTGTCGTTGCCAGATGTTTAGCGGTACACGGCGACACAAGGCGTTATTTATAGTTATCAGCCTTTGTGTTAACAACAAACATGCCACGTTCGGGCTTACGAGCGATCACGTTGGCAATATGAGGCTTTTTACGCCTGACTTTCGTATTATTTGCGTGGGTTTGATACACATCTCAAAACATCAAACTGTAACAGCTTCCAACACTATTTCGGATTGAAGAACAGAGGCCTGAAAAATTCTGGACATTCCTTTATATTTAATAACGCCTGTTACTTTGTGCCGTTGCCGGTATTTGACCCATTGTGTCACCTTTTGTGAATGTAAACCTAAGACTGTGTTTCAATATTTTCTTACTTATTCATTCATCTGCTGTGGTCATTTACTGAAATCAGTTCGTCACGTGACATTTTGGAATTTAACGCACAACAAAAATTATTTTCATCGTACCTAACAGGCAGGACACAGTCAGTTCAGATAAACAAGACTTTGTCGAACAGAGAAAGTCTCACATGTGGTGTGTCTCAAGGGTCTGTACTGGGACCGATCTTGTTCACCTTGTACACAAGACCATTAGGGCATTTGATATCAGAAGAGCATGTGGCTCATCACTTTTATGCAGATGATTAACAATTGGTTGATAGTTTCAGTCCCCTCCTCGACAATCAGATTACATCTTTGAACAAGATAGAAAGGCATCACAATTTGTTAGCAGAGTTATGTCCCCTGGATGTGCAAGGGTCTGCTTATCTCGTATTCTAATCCCATGAGCGTAGATTACACCGACCTGATAAACGTCTACATTATACATGCGTATCTTTCCTTAACATTCAGTTGCGATTCCGATTATAACTTAAATACTCTTTAAACGGGCGTTTAGGCCATCTTATCCATCCATAGTTTAAAAACATTGAAGGTATAATTAAGCAAGCAAATACAACGTACGTGTGTCTTCGTCAAAGCATCGCCGAATTTTGAATGCATAGTCCTCTCCGGCAGGTACATCAATATAATTCAGGGTCTTCAGAATGCCTGGAAAGTCGCACTGGCATAACATTACAGGAATTATCTGATTTTCCCTGTTCTCAACAGAAATGCCAAACGCAAAATTCCGTTCATATTCGCACCATCGGCTTTCCATCGAAGCAGGAGACAGAATGAAGACAACCTTCACAGAAGACACGATTCCATTCTGTATCAAGGATCCAACATCGTGGCCGGGGGTAAAGTCTCGTTTTGGCCAAAGGCATTTCAAGCCAAAGTCTCGCTCCATGGTGTTGACCAGTTGCTCTGCCCATTCCGCTTCTTCCGGAGGATCATTACTATGGGAAATAAAAAGATGGTGTGATTTTCCATTTGGAAGTGGGGGGATGTCCAGATTCAGGGTGTTCCTTTGGAACGCTTCTACCTCCCTAGCAGCTCTTTCAGCCTCCATGCGGCGTTGTGCCAGCTCAAAGTCATATTCTTCATCTTCTTCCAACTGGATAAGGGTATCGAGATCCCTCGATGTGGCCATTGTTTTTTTTTCCAATGTCTGCAAGGGTCAAAAAAAGATTTTTCAACAAAATGTATTTACGCAAAGAGATCTAAAAATTACACTTGCATATAATACAACAGAGCCATCATAATTTTCAATACTTGAAATTAGCTATCGTCTCACAGTCAAAACACCATCTAAACACAACATCCCCACGTTGTGTATTATCCTAATGATTTAAGACCGCCTCCGTGGTCTAGTGGTAGAGCGTCCGACCGGAGAGGGGAAGGGTTTGATCCTCCGCCGCGTCATGCCAGAAGACGTTATAAAATGGTACTTGTTGTTACCCTGGCTCTTGGCATTAAGGGGCTCAAACAAGGACTGGTCGGCTCGGAGTCTGTATACTGTCCCTGAGTGGGGTATTCATGTTAAACTGCGGCATGGTATCTCAGTGAGCTAGCACTATTAATGGGCATCAGACCGGAGTACTACAAGCAGCCACACACAAACACACGTGCATGCACGTCGTGTTATAAGTGCAATAATCTTGGACGTGACGTTAAACCGCATTTCACCTTACCTCACCAATGATTTAAACATGTTTATGCAAAGAACATATCATTGGGCATTCAGTCAAATATCGATGAGATAATATATACTCTTAAAAAAAGTAGGGGATCGTGAAATAAAAATGTTAATACCAAGTATTATACCAAAGATAAATGTTGAGGACAAACATCCGAAACATGAACGTTTATGTCTGTAAAACAGAACACACAAAAACATCCGATAGTTTGCACGTAACACACACATGGGTCTAGGGTGTCATTCCTATTTTTCACACTTTCATGGAAGGTCGATTACTATCTGTGGACCATTATTTTTGTCAATCTTATTTATTCTGCTTATCATACAGTTGCCATTTAGTTGGTTTCATTCATTGTTTGTGTATGAACTTGCGATACAATGGGCTGTTGGCATGCTGGAAACTGACTGAAGTCCTTGCTTAACAGAACATGGAAATACATGGGTATTGTCCCATGCGTTTGTTTAGCAGGTTCATGTGCCATTCAGCCCAAGTCAGCGCGCGACAGCTGTCTATGGCCAAATTTTGTTCAATGGTATTTTCCCTCTGTATCGGAGTAAGTACTTCCTTATACGGAATGCATTACAATCCCTTGTTCTGCTCTCATCAAGGGTCCAATGACTAATTGCTTCATTGCATAAACACAAGGAACCCTTCCATTACCCAAAAGACCTATTGCCTACTATTTGTTTACTAAATAAAGCCACAAAACCCTTTCCATATCCAAAATAAATCTCTGTATAAAGCAGAGTCCATGGAACGATTCTGACTATATCATGGGCATGTGTTTATGAACCACTATCAAAAGGTAATGATAGGTGTTCGCGAAAAGGCTACCATCGAATCTATTCATCATGGTCCGCCCTCTTTGTGACGTCTTGCATGTACGTAAATTGAGCAGAAGGAGCCAAGGGGCCAAAGCCTTCAATTTTGATCTACTGTTGTCTACTTAATTAAAGCGATTACCTGGTTATTGTGTTCCATTAAGCACTAGTTGTCAGGGGCGGCTCTCTGCATTCCGGACAAACACGGGATCGATGTTGTGTGCTGCAGGACGTCGGGCCTCGTATCGCAGTCTGTGTTATCGTAGGGCTATGACTGCATGCCTTTGTAATAAAGGCGCAATTCACATACCTGGTCATTGTGTGGCAATACCAATAGCCTGCCTGGTCCACGTCACGTGGTATGAGCCAGCTCGCCCAAACGTGCCCCATCCCACCCTGCATCCGGACTCAACCTCCTTACAGCAAGGACGAGTCTACTTTCTTTTGTTTTGTAATACACATTTGAATCATGTTTCCATGATTTCAGATGCTAATGCTACATAAGGTAGGTGTTGCATGGACTAATACTCGTCTACTACACATTATAGTGAGTGGGTGAATTTAAATTCAACGTCTCATCGGCATTATTTCAGTCATAACCAGCGTAGGTTACTGGTGGCCTCTAGCTCGTGATTTAAATATGTATGCATGATATTGTCATGCTAAAATAAGTTTCATGGATTGTTTTTACATATAACTTTTCATAAATGACTTAATCGTAAACATATTAACTTGGTCTCGTCGCTATATGGCTGAAATAATGCCGATGCAACGTTCAATTTTACCATTTACCACATTATAGCTTATCTGCTTAAGCCAGATAGTGAAGCCAATTACATGAATATACATCTTATGCTTGTCGAAGGTATGTGTGTGTGTGTTGGGGTGGAGGGGTTGGGGGGGGGGGGGGAGTATGATATTGTAAGAGATGCCCGCATAGGACATATTTGGGCAATATAAAAATAACTCTGTCGACACTCGGAATTGCAGATTACATGAACCTTAATTTCATTCGAGACAAACAATCCTTATTTCCTTGTTCCTCGTGAGTTATTCTCTAAATATATGTGCTAGATCTGCTCTTCCAAATTATGGGGCATATAAGGTGACATGTATGTGACATTTACAATGGTGGGTTAATCCGATTACACTGGGTTACGAGGAAAACGATTTTGTAAATCCGATTACAGTTGGTTATGAGGAAAACGATTTTGTAAAATTGCCTTATCTATAGTCATTGTCGTGTGAGTTTGCAAATTGTTATGCGTTTAATGTGCGGTGTTCGTTCTCCACACAGTGGGTCTTAATTCATGAGGTAACACTCATTGGTTATGGGCGAACACTTGACTTGCCCTTGCATGTATTTGTGACGGATGCAACCGGTGGGGTACGATACGCTAACCTTTTCGCGAACACCTGGTATTATCACTGATTGATTGGGATTCATAAACGCATACTGAGGATTGATAATGAAGGGAAAATGTAACTTTGCTTCATATAAAGCTCAATGAAAATAAATGTATTCTGAAATAATATAATGCATCAATACATACAGATGAAGACATCTGACCCGTGAAGATCCGGGGTAGAATAGGTCTTCAGCTACCCATGCTTACCGTAAAAGGCGACAATGCTTGTCGTAAGAGGCGACTGACGGGATCTGGTGGTCGGGCTCGCTGACTTGGTTGATGCATGTCATCGATCCCAATTGTGTGGATCGATGCTGATGATGCCAATCACTGGATTGTCTGGTCCAGACTTGACTATTTACAGACCGCCGTCATATAGCTGGAATATTGCTGAGTGCGGCGTAAAACAACAAACCAATAAACCAACCATCCTTCCGAGGAAAATGTTATGTGACAGCACGTGATTGAAGAGACGAAGTCCATTTTATGTTTGTCTGCCCGTTTAACGCATCATTAAGTTAAAAGTATATTCCTGTAAGATTCTATAACAACCCATGTATTAATACTTTTAGCAATCTCTTAAATAACCAAAATGACTGTATACTCAGAAATGTAGCTAAGTATGTGAAGGAAGCTCTATTATTACGTACAAAGACTTAATATTGTACCCTTAGTATTGTTTTAAATGTCAATTGCCTCAATTGTGTTTTACTATATATAACTGAAATGAACATGGGCCTGTCGTAACTGCTTTCGGGCGTCAAGTGCGACCCTACTACAGTTACTAAATGTATTGCCATTTCCTGGTCCTCATGGTCAGTTAAGCCATGACTGTGCAACTCGCCAGGTGAACATCGGCTCCGTTCCGTCAAGGAGTGCTTGGTCTTAGGACGTCTTCTCCAAGTTGTCCCCATCAGCATTCATACTCTCATAATAAAGAAACGCAACACCAGCTTTATACTCACATAGTTTTACTTACTCTCAGCCCATCTATCAATACAGGACAGGATCAGACCGGCCAGACTCGTGACTAACTGGTGAAAACTTAGAACGATCGGGATTCGACTCGATCGATTGCAAACCGTGCTCTCTTCTCCTAATAATAAAGTATCACTTCGGGCCTGGCCTGTCTTTGTCACATGTCACAATACCCCATTTTGATTGGTTACAAGTTAGCTCTGACCATGAACTCTTGTGTGTCGTAATCGGAAAACTACAGAAGCCTACGGGCCAGATTGTTCATCACTCTATTGATTTTGTGACTTGCCCCGGATGCTCCAAATAAAATATATCTTGAAATTCTCTGCTTGTTTCATTAACTAACCAATCCAATGATACATATGAAATGTCAAGAATTCACTTGTGATAAATATGAAATGTCTTTTATCTATTGATTCTTATCGAACTAACAGTTCTCTGTCACAAACTATATCTAATGCAACTCCTCATTGCAGCTATAACGGTTTTATTTGTTACCATTTTCTAATGTTTTTGAGAAACATTTTTAACCTTTAAACAGGCCTATGGCCTCCCATACATTAGTAAACATAAACATAAACATAGATATATAGATATATAGATATAGATAGAGATATATTCAATGCGATGGGTTGCTGAAGACCAATTCCACCCCGGATCTCTTCACGGGTCGCCAGATGGTACTACGGGAGCGGGTGCCTGTTGGCCTCCAAATGGTTGTGTCATGATTTTTGTTTAATCAAAGTACACTAACTGAAAACCTAAGTTTCTGCGTTCTTGGAAAAGACGGAGATAGGTTGACCTCATAGTCAGGTTGGAATACTTTAATCCACACTTTGTATATTTGAACCCCGTTTCCATTTTTGTCTGTTTGTTTGTTGTTTAACGCCGCACTCAGCAATATTCCAGTTATATGACGGCGGTCTGTATATAATCGAGTCTGGACAAGACAATCCAGTGATTGACATCATGGGCATCGATCAACCCAATTGGGATACGATGACATGCATCATCAACCAAGTCAGCGACCCTGACCACCCGATCCCGTTCGTTGCCTTGTACGACAAGCATTGTTATGTCTTGGTGGGTCGCTATTCTTCTGTAACGATGTAAGACGATTCACGGCAACGCCTCGTCCCGTAAAACGCATCGCCTGCGTGGCCCACGTCACGTGGTATAATTCAGCTGACACACGCCAAGAACGCCAATAAAGTTTTTAGAAACAGGATATGTTTTACGGTCAATATTATGTGATAGTTTGTGGATTTGTGTTTGAAATATATATTTTTCCCGAAACAAATTGACACAAATAATTTCTGCACCAAAAACAAACTGTTCTCAGAACATGCTTGATGTCCCGGAATTTTTTTTGAAAAAAAACATTCAGCGTCACCTTTATGAGGAAAAGTTATGTTTTGAAACATTGACCGTAAAACATATCCTGTTACTAACAACTTTATTTCCTTGTGTAGAATTGAGGACATTGAGGAAATGAATGCTGATTTAGTTGTGTGAAATGAAAACGAAAGAGAAAGTACCCGTCCTTGGCGTGTGACAGCTGAATTATACAACCAACATAATCATGCATACATGATTTGCTATCTTAGTAAACTGAATGGGCCCGTTGGTGTATGGCTGATATATTAAAGATTAGACGTTTTAATGTCACTCATATACCAAAAGATACATCATGTATACATTCCTTGTCAAATTTAAAATCATTTATCCTCTTTTTTCAGAGAGCAACACCTGGATGTTTGAATCACAAGAAGACCAGTGTGTCTGAGTTGCTCCTCCATTAAAACAGATGTAAAGATGTTGTTCATGTTGGTATTGTGTGTGCTGTTGTCCGGCTGTGGGGTAGGTGCAGAACCTTGCACCCCCACAAATCTGTCGATTGGTACGAGGAGCAGGTGTATTAGTGTACAAAGTTGTCGAATGCAATCGTTTGTGGTGTATGGGAAAACATGCATTGTTCCCTGCCTCCCAACATGGCTACATATGTGGTCAGATTCTAAGGTCATGTGTCTTAGTGCACAGGATTGTCGAGAAAGCTCGCGTGTGGTGTATGGGAAAACATGCGTGCATTCCTGTCCCCCCGGGACGCTTTACCAACAGGACACTTCCACATGCTACAACACGTGTCCGGCACATACGATCATGGTAGGATCGCGTTGCTTGAATGGGACATACTGTGTGTCCCATAACAACCAGGTCCTGTTTAATGGCACCTGTGTGCCGTCCTGTCCTTCCTCCATGCCTTTCAAGACAAATGGGACTTGTTGTAAGGCATGCCCAGTTGATACTGTTATGAACGGGTCCGATTGTTTGTCACCGTCAGACTGTATAGAGAGGGGATATTTCATAGACAACACGACATGTGTTAAAGTTTGTCCTTCCAACAAGCAGTCTATCCTACAAGGTGTCTGCCTTTCCTCATGTCCACCTGACAAATCTGTCACGGTAAATGGAAACCAGTGTCTATCAAAACAGGAGTGTACTCGCAGGCTGGGTCAATTCATATACAACAATACTTGTGTTCCTGTCTGTCCAGCTGCAGCTATGTTCAGTGACCAGGGATCATGCACAACACTGTGCCCAACTGAGAAATGTGTTCTTGGGACTGAATGCATTTCTGACTTTGCTCGCCGATATATGGTCAGTTTCCGAAATGAATGTATTGCCACCTGCCCTCCTGAAGCTCCTTATGCAGTAGATAGCATCTGTTACTCGACATGTCCTCCTAACACTGTGTTGAATGATGAAGCATGCATAGGTTTGCAACAATGCACAGAACGATATTACCTATATAAAGTCATCTTCAACAATACCTGTGTTGATGCCTGTCCACAATCTGCACCTTTAAACCATCACGCAACGTGTGTAACAATTTGTCCAGATGAAACTGTAATCGCTGACATGCAGTGTGTTGATCCTTCTGCTTGTATAATGACCCATGGGTTTATAGCCAACAGAACATGTGTGTCCGAGTGTAATGGCACAGAACCCTACGTAGCCAATGGCCTCTGCCAGCCTGCCTGCCCAGAAGACTTTGTTGTTACAGCCCCAGGGAAATTCCAGTGCATTGGCGAATCCGAATGTATCGAGATGAAGAAAATGGTGTCTGACGGAACGTGTGCAACAGAATGTCCAAAAGAATCCCCATACATCAGGTCAAGCCACTGCTACCAAACGTGCCCACAGGAAACTGTTGGTTTGCCTGATATGAACTGTGTAAGTTATCAAGAGTGCAAGGAGCAAGGGATGTTTGTTCATGAATCCAAATGTCTTCATGATTGTCCATCAACGTTTAAGTATAAATTACACAACACATGCATCTTGGAGTGTCCTTCAAACACAAGCGTATTCCCAGACAACAAATGAGTTTCTATATCCGACTGCTCAACGATAACAGACGCAGTCAAATACAATGGATCATGTTTGCCACATTGTCCTCCTCATGTCCCATATAACCATTCCGGAAACTGTCTGACGCAATGTCCGTCAGGGTTTTTCGCAAAAAGTTTTCACTGCCTAGAAAATAACAAGTGCTCAAATATCTTATACAACGGATCATGCTTATCATCTTGCCCCCAAGAGGCACCAAACAGAAAGGACAGCAACTGTTACGCCATTTGTCCACCGGACACCTACATTTATCAGGAAAAATGCATTGATCAATATGATTGTCAGGAGAAGAAGTTCTACATCGCCGGCGGTAGTTGCGTGTCAACATGCCCACCTGGTAGTGCAGGTTTCACAGATTACATCTGTCACCCCTTGATATATGTGTATAGCGCAATTCAAGTTACGCCATTTCTGATGTTGACGGTGCTGATGTGTCTGTTCTTCATGGTTTATAATCCTAAGAAATCAAGGGAAATGAATGCACCACAAAAAGTTCAAAGAGAACAGGTAAGTATAAATGTTAGCTCCACTTCCATCGATAAACCTGTATATTGAATGTAATAAAAGTGTAGTGTTTACGTAAGATATAAGGATAAGGAGTAACAGATGAACTCATGTCAGCCTTAAAATATACGTGCATTATGTGTCATTGCTCTTTGCTCATGATATTAACCACCGGGTTGGCCTGACCACGAACTGATTGAGAATAATAGCATAATATGATGTATGTATATAGATACAGATGTCGATAAATATGGATATATAGAGAGAATCTCACCCGAGTGTCTTTTGATATCAAATATATCAACACGAGTTGATAAAAGTGGAAAAATTCCGAGGCTTGCCGAGGATTTTTGCCACTTTTATCTACGAGTGTATCAAAAGACACAATTTGTAGACAGTAATTAGCAGTGACTTCAGTGTAAAAAGTACTGCTAACAGCTTCAGTAGCAGAGCCATTAGTAATGTCATTTGATTGTGATGTCATGGAAACCAGTGACGTCACAATTGTCTGCAAAGCATTGTGATGTAATTTCATTGCAGCGATATCTACAGTGTAGATATCGCTTGATCTAATCCAAGCCATATCTCCTGTGGGATCCAGTTTTGAATGATAAAAATAAATATGCATCTGCATTTGCGTCAGTCTTGTTTTGTTTTGTTTTTGTTGTCTTTGTTGTTTGGTTTGTTTGTCTTTTTTTGTTTTTTGTTTCGTTTTTTTTTTGGGGGGGGTGGGGGTTGGGGGGGGGGGGGGGGGGGGGTGCGTGTGTGTGTGATATTTACATTGGTTAATACATTGTGAAATTCTGAAATTTACGTCCTCCCTATGATGTACATTAATGTTGTACATCTGATCTTTTGGTGTCGTATATTTTATGTTTCTGTGTCAGACCTTTTGTAGTTGTGTAAACGTGTTGCACAATTTATCATTGTAGCTCACAGAGTGTGATATGCTGGAGTTAGTGACGTTTGACAATCTCCCTGGACAACAGCAAGACCGCGCTGAACTTCCGGATGAAGAAAACATGGAAGTCAATTAGGATAGATGAAGAGCTGCTGTCATTGCAAGAACAGCGAAATTTTTCTCAGAAAGCAACTGCTTTGAGTCACAATGGAGGGATCCTTTGAGTTGCGAACTATTTCAATAAGGTGATTATCAATCCACGAAGAGACCACGACGATGTGCCGTTGTTACAAGTAACATCAGAAGACGAGCCTTTGATCCAGCACACTGATGATGCATTCGTGTTTGGTGATGGAACGAACTGAATTGATCAGAATGATGAAAGTGAAAATGATAGGTTGGTGGCTATCTCCATTGGCTTTTCAGCCAATGATTATCAGTTAACATTAATCTGCTCTGAATAGGTGTATTTTCTGTATTTTGGTTGCTGTCCTGAATTTGTAATTGGGTGCTGTTATCTTACTTTCTTACTTAGTATTAACTTTCTGTAACAACGCTTGTTTCTTTATGTCCTTGCTTGTTTCTTTGTTCTATATGGTTATTGTCTTCTATTGGCTTTTTATTGTCATATTTCTTTTAAATGCACATAAGTTGCTTTCTTGGACATGAGTTGACCCATGTATTTATAGTTGTATATATCTAAAGTCATGGCTAAAGCTTTTGCTTCAATTAACATGCAGCTTTGAACGTACACGATGTAAGATCAACAGTTCGGCGTTAAAAAACAAACAAACAAACAGCATCTCAAATTGTGGTACCAGTTACAAATTATTACAAAAGGATACTCATCTTCTACATGGGCCTGATTACCTTTGATGTTTCAGCTCTTTTCTGTATCTCCCAGTCTTAATTATTCTTAAAAAATCTTCTATTGCAGATTAATTTCACATTCTATTGTAATCCCGTCTGTTATAACCAAATGACTCCCCGGGCTCAAATATGACTCCACTTGCAATTTCAAATGTCTATGTTTCATTGTATTTTCGGGTATGTTTGTGTATCAATTAATAGATTTATTGGAGGCACGTGTGGTTGGTGACGTGGGGTGTGCATGTTGCCAACGCCTCATGTTGTTGCGCCGATTTCTCAGACATTATGTAACCCGAAACGCCCTGGCCATGTGGATCCGTGTGACTACATAATTATTTGTTCATTCTTTACAAACTTACGAAAAAAGCGAATATTTTAACACCAGAACTGTCTCACTTGGGACTGATGAAATCTATGTGCTGGCAATTCAAAGAAACGTGCTTATGTCTGAAATGAACTGTTGAGTAAGAATTTGTATACAAAACTTGAACCAGTTATGTTTTTTGTATGTATTTTTAATGTTTATGAATTATTTTATATATATTTTATTCCTGCATGGAAATGATGTAATTATACATGGTACCTTTCTTAGCGCGTGTGTACATGTTGGGTCGATACTATGCGATAAAAGTGCATGTTCCCTTCAAACAATTACATGCAGACAAATATTTTGTAGAAAACAATTGTATAGACGCATCTTATTATTTTCATGCGTCGAAGCTTACCCCTGATATGATTTATATAATTAGAAAAATCTAAAGTGGAAACAAAGTTACTTTTATCCTAACTATTTGAGAGATATACACTTATTTTTATTGTATGGTTTGGGCCTAGCAGAGGGGCGTGATCTGAGCCTAGAGTGCTTTGATTGGTTGGTTGGTTGGTTTGTTGTTTTACGCCGCACTCAGCAATATCCTAGCTATATGACGGCGGTCTGTAAATAATCGAGTCTGGACCAGACAATCCAGTGATTAACATCATGCATTTGGGATCGATGACATGCTTCAACCAAGTCAGCGAGTCTGACCACCCGATCCCGCAAGTATGGGTTGCTGAAGACCTATAGAGTGCTTTGAACCTAAGCTGAAATCACTCCGGAGTGAATTTTTATGGGGTTGAGTGAGTCTATCTAGTGTATATCTATTTTATATAAATCTTGTGTGTGTGTGTGTGTGTATGTGTACATCGATCTATCACAATTAACAATGTTTTTATGGAGTGGGTCACATAAGTGAGCCATTTTTTTCCCATCCTTTTTTGTACTTTTTACACAATAAAATATGTTTAAACGTCTGTTTCAGGAATTCGTTTTTACCCATTTTACCCAAGTTGTGTCTAAATGGCGATCATAATAAAATAACACCGCTTATGAAGAGTGCGACTGAGGACATAACTAGTGGGGAGTGGGGTCACAAACGGGTATATTCTTTCTTGTTACATTACAACAGCTCTCGTCTATGTCAACCGATATCCATCTGAGACATCATAAGTTTGATTGATAACTCGAAAATGATATAGATATCTCAATATTTTATTTACATCTCTGACGATGTTGATACTTCAACACCCGCTATCACATATTAGCGTAGCACGTACATAAATACACTGCACATTGGTGTATAGCTGCAGGGGTTCTGCCATGTCCACCGCTTAGACGGTCTATTTGCAGAGGTTCCCTGCATGCTCTCTCCGTCTTTCGAACCTCTCCTTTATGTAACAATATGTTATAAGTTGTAGCATTATCACGAGGGGTATATGGGGTTTTATGTGTCAAGCTTTAGATTTTATGACACGAGTCGGAGGCCGCATTAAACCACTTATATCCAGAGCGATACAACGACAACGAATTGATCTTGCCAACATGTTTCAATCTGCCGTTGTAAAAAAATTAAAACAAATTGAAAATTGAAAGAAAATATCTGTTGAGCTGAGTCATTGACTCGTAAGAAACGTGCAGCGTTTTGCTTCGTTGCGGGGTATGAGTGTTTTATTCTCTCGCTCAGAAATCCACGTGCAGCCTGTTTTCTTAGTGGCGGGGTATTAATGATTTATTCTCCCGCGCAGAAATGCACATGCAGCCTGTTGTCTTCGTGGCTGGGTATAAGGGATGTATTCTCCCGCTCAGAAATGTGTTTCCCTCCCAATTTTGTATCAAGATGACGTGAACTAGTCAGATCTGAACATTCTGAAATGGTGGTAAGAAAAGCGCGGTTGATCCATTCCAAAGCTTTCATGGGCCACACAAAATAGTTCATGTCACTAGTAACTGGAAGAGATACATTAACAGACACAACAACCACATGTGCATAACGTGAGGTGACGTGAAATAGGGTTTAGCGTCGCGTACATTCACGTATCATTCTTCTTGTGAGGGAGTGTGTGTGGTTTTACGCCGCTTTTAGCAATATTCCAGCAATATTCCAGCCGGGGATGGAACTCATCTTTCTTGGTATGCCGCGGCAGGGAATCGAACTCACGACCTTCTACCAGGCTCTACCAGCAGACCACGGAGGCGTTCGAAATGTATCACAGATGTTTTTAATGAACATAGTCATTATTTTCAGAGCCTTTTCTGGACAGATCTGATATGATGTCTTTTTGATGATAATATTAAATTGATACTTAAGTTCACTTAATTATCGTACGAGGAGACCCAGTACATCTGACTAGGTGACCTGGTTGATTGTGTTTCATCGTAACCTGATGGCAAGGATCATTGCTCATAATATCAATCACTGGTTTGTCTGGTCCTTACTCAATTATTTATAATTATTTTGTCATACAGATGGAAAATTGCTCAGTGTTAAATTACGAACAAACAAAAAAACATGGACGTAATTACAAGTATTTGAAACTGTTTATTGCTTCCAAATGAAACAACAGATTTGGGGTCGGACCGATCATTTAGATTGCACAGCGTGTCAAACACGTGTGTGGGGGAGGGGTGGGGTGAGGAGTCGATTTGGCCTTTCGTCTTTCACTTAATCCTCACATATACGCTATTACCGTTTTCGAACAGGCAGATTTGGGGTCGGACCGATCATTTAGATTGCACAGCGTGTCAAACACGTGTGTGGGGGAGGGGTGGGGTGAGAAGGTGATTTGGCCTTTCGTCTTTCACTTAATCCTCACATATACGCTATTACCGTTTTCGAACAGGCAGATTTGGGGTCGGACCGATTATTTAGATTGCACAGCGTGTCAAACACGTGTGTGGGGTTTGGGGAGGGGTGGGGTGAGGAGGCGATTTGGCCTTTCGTCTTTCACTTAATCCTCACATATACGCTATTACCGTTTTCAAATTTCATTTTGGTCAAGCATTTGCGAGTACGTAGGTCCTAATGTATTAAAATCTACAAAGTTGCTATGTAGAGTTTACTTTCCCGTTAGGAAATATATACTTAAAGCAGAGTTCCTTGTACGATTCCAAACTATTCATGAGCACTCGTTTATAAATCACTATACAATCCGTCACAAGCACATGCACAGGCAAGTAAAATGTTTATCTGAACCACGGACTTGTATATATAGGTCCGTGTCTGAACAAACACATTTCAAGTTGGAATACGGCAGACATCATTTTATCCTATGACGTCCTTCAAATCTGCGGAGGCATGGGTGGCCCAGTCGTCTAAGGCGCCGCGATTCGCTGTGCAGAGTTGCGTTTAATGGGCACGCCAGAAACCTATGATTGTGGGTTCGAATCGCGGTTCGCCCCGATTATGGTTCTAGGTTTGTCAGCACCATACTCGTGCTCGTGGGTTTCACCGAAGTGGTAAACGTCTGAGACCTGCATCACATCGGGCTTTCCTCCCACATTAGGCTGACACGTCGTGATATAACTGGAATACTGTTAAAAGCGGCGTTAAACCCAACTTACTCACTCACTCTAAATCTGCGTAGAAAGAGCATACTACTACTACATTATTACCCCAGGCAACGGATCAGAGAGCATTCGATTTTCATTCTCAGTTCCCTGGGGAGTATACAAGCCAAGCTGCCTGTGATTGAAAACGCAGTGATTCAAACTAGTGTGAACGAGTTAAACTAAGTTGTCGCAAGCGTTATGCATTGTTATTATATTTTAATTATTGCTTATAGAATGTGATATATTAAATAACGCAAGAAATATCAAGACCTATCTTCCTAAATTTCAACAAGTTCGCCAAACATTTTCAATGACGCAATACTGCTTCACGAAACATCATGAAGCAAATTGATGAATTTGAACCCAAATTGGACTCCTCAGAGTCGGAATTTTTTGTGTTTTTGTTTGTTTGTTTGATTGTTGTTTAACGCCGCATGAGGCAATATTCCAGCGATCCGTAAATAATCGAGTCTGGATTACTTTCCAGTGATTGACACTATGATCATCGATCCACGCAATTGGGATACGGTAACATGCATCAACCAAGGCAGCGAGTCTGGATACCCGATCCGGTTAGTCGCCTATTCTGGCAAGCATAGGTTGCTGAAGACCTATAGTAACCCGAATCTTCACGGGGTCGGAGAGTGTGACATAACTATGCTTATCATACCTCTTTGTTCACGTCTTGGCACGTTTCATCTCCATCTAGAGTAACAAAGCATCTTGTCACAGATGTACTTCTGTATACATGCAAGAAGAAAAAGGGAAAATAAATACTGAGAAAACAATGTCTGCATTACATGCAAAACAAACGGTACCAGCCTTTCCTGAATGTCAAAGAAAACTCCCCCCCCAAAAAAAAAAAGAAACGTGTAAAAGTTAAAACACGGATTTCACAAACACATATGACAGCTCATCTCACAAATATATATCTACATTCATCTTCGATCTCCATTGAGGTTGCTTGCCTCTAACTAATATAAATCAGAGTGGCGATTGGAGTCGCCTAGTGGATAAAGCGTTTGTTTGTCAGCTCATTTCTGGTGTCCCCCACCGTGATATTGAAGGAATATTGCTAGGTTGGTTGGTTGGTTGTTTAACGCCGCACACAGCAATATTCCAGCTCTATGACGGCGGTCTGTAAATAATCGAGTCTGGACCATACAATCCAGTGATTAATATCATGAGCATCTTAACATACAAGAGAGGTCGCCCAAATCCTAACCAATCAGAGTATGTGGATGAGTAATTGACATGGAATGATCTGGATCCTCAATTTTCTTCAAGACCACTGTGTTTGCAAATATGAATTATCCATGCCAGTATGCCAATACTTTCTAAATCGAACTGTTCAGTTCATTTCATGAATGACATTTTATGTGGCACACTCATAAGATACAACATGTGTTGATTTAGATATTTATACTCTAACCGCACATAAAAGATAGCTACGCGATAAATCGCAAAGGACAACGAAGAACGAAGCGTGGTTTATTTCACGATAAAACATTGTTCTATCATGACGTCATTTCTGGAGATTCTGACACGTGCTCGCAACTTGATGACGTCGTATATATGACGGCGTTATTTTTAGTGGGGACTGTCCAGTCCCCCGTAGATGTAGCTAGGCAACGCAGATAAACGCGGTGGCCGAACGATGACCTCCAAAATCGAATTAGCTATGACAATCGGTATTGGGGGGAGAAATACAGGTAATCGAAGTGAGGATTGTGAGTATATGCGGGACATACTTAGGTTGTCATAAAATGGACTTGTCCGACATTGCCGTGGTCGGATTCTTTTAAGGAAGACGTCGTTATTTAAAAACGGGTAAATATGTTGTACAATGTATCGTCATCCTTAAAGAACTGTCAATAATGTGGATATATCATATAAGATATAAACGACTCGTGGGCGTTGTTTATCTTACAATAAAACACTGAAGACAGATAAACCATGAGGGGCGCAGCCCCGAGTGGTTTATTCTCCCTGCAGTGTTTTATTGTACCATAAACAACGGGCACGGGTCGTTTATTTCGTAATTGCATTACTCCACATACACTTACATATTCTAACCTCATCTCACCTGGTATCATTA